CCCGCATGTTAAAAATGAACGTTCAAGAAGACTGCATTGCATTGTGGGGTACGCTGCTAAGGATGCAAGATTGGATGCCAATTTTTTTTTTTATATATATATTCACATTGCACATCAGCTGCACATTTTGGGAAACACTTAAGTAATCCAATGTTTGCACTATACACGGTGCTGTACATACTGCAGAAAATCTAGTATGCAAGTTTCAATGCTCCGTCATTTTAGCAAATTAATTTGATTTATTTTTTTGTTTGTATGGGGGGAAATATTATACCTTATTAAAAATTATTTATTTTTCACTTCAGTCAGACCAGTGAAGCATTTGATCATCGCGCCCCTTTCTGACTCCTGACAGTTGCTATTATTTTTAAGATATTATAGTATGACCATGCATCCCCCTTTTATTTTTTATTTTTTTTAAGGACATGTTCTGGATGGGATTTGTAATTTTACCTGAAATGTCTGGGATTGTTTTTCAATTGGTTTCATGTTTGCTGAAGGTAAAGAGTGAAAAGAAGTGACCGACAGCGTGCAGGCATTGCACATAATGGCATGTGAGAAGGTGGATCTACAGCGAATAAGAGCAATGCAAATATACACACACACAATGTCTGAGGACTGTCAATAGGAAAACAAAGCCAAAACTGGGACATTTTAGGTCGTTTGGAAATCCCAGCCAGGACATGTCCCAGGAAAAAGAGCACATACGGTCGCTATATATTATAAAACACGGTTTGAAATTTAAGTGTTTTTTAAAAGTTCTGCAGATTGTGTAAAATGCTACTACATGTCGTGTTTCATTCGTCGTCAAAGTAATCCACTCTGTTTGCTTCAATAAAACTCTTCCCGTGATCTTAGCTTGTAGTTGTTTGTGAGCTGTTAATTCGTGTGACTGTTTTTCCAGTTGTCACTCAGCCGACCGCGTCCACCGCTCCTCCGAGCACAGCTGAAGAGACCAAAACACCCGACGCCTCCAAACCCAAGAAGAACAGATGCTTCATGTGCCGCAAGAAGGTCGGCCTGACAGGTGGGCACAGCCAGCACGTTCACACACACCACAGCTCAGATGCAGTCTCTGTACACACGTTCTGATGTGCTGATGTCTGGTTTGTCAGGGTTCGACTGCCGCTGTGGGAATCTCTTCTGTGGACTCCATCGCTACTCGGACAAGCACAACTGCCCCTACGACTACAAGGCGGAGGCTGCAGCCAAGATCCGCAAAGAGAACCCGGTGGTGGTGGCCGATAAGATTCAGAGAATATAAAGCGCTCGCCGTCGCACCTCCACTTTGCGAGAGATCAGCTACAAGGACTCGCACTTTGACTTGTGATCTGAAAGACTTTTTTTTTTTTTTTAATTACAGTATGGGAAAGAATCTTGTTTCTAAGCCAATGCATGAGTGATCACTTCGTTTCCATCTTTCTTTTGCTGTTATATGAGCTTCAAGTTAAAACAAATGGGGGGGGAAAAAAAGGATGCCTATAAAAGGTGTGAAGCCAGAGACATTTGCCT